TTTTTGGCCCAAGATCTTGGTAGATAACCATATAACAATAACAATTCTTGGCCCAATATCTTGGTAGATAACCATATAACAATAACAATTCTTGGCCCAATATCTTGGTAGATAACCATATAACAATAACAATTCTTGGCCCAAGATCTTGGTAGATAACCATATAACAATAACAATTCTTGGCCCAAGATCTTGGGAGATAACCATGTAACAATATTGATTTTTTTCAGAAAACTACAGATGATGCTCAGGAGAGAAAACCTCCGCTTAATTATTATTCAGGAAAGTCATCACACGTTTTACAAAAAAACTTACCACAATCATATATATCAGTGGTTCCCAAACTCTTTTAGTCTGAGGCTCCATTGATGCAAATAAAAATGTTTGACCCCCCCCCCAACCTGTAAAAATGCCTTGAAATATGATTTATCAATTTCAAAAAATAATTACTAATGAACTTTACTGAAATCTATGAAGTAATGCTTCTATTTGTAACTTAATGTGGCCTTATCTATTTATATGTATTATAATTAGACCACCTTTGTTTTGGGCCTATTTTTTTGCAGCCCCCACTTTGGGAAACACCGATATAGACTAGTGGCCCCAAAATCAATAGATATTAATTTTAATAAAACACTATGGAGTTTGTCTCTCTTTTGAAGAGGACACGTGACATGAAAAACTTGAACGCTCAAGTCGCATAATTTAAAATAGTTAAAATAGTTCTTTTTTTATAATTGTAGAGCTTAAAAAATCCCATAGCAACAACTTAGCAAAAAAAAAAGAGAGTTTCATTATATTAGATGATTCTTCTTTCATAACTATATCTTTATATATATATATATGTTTGGACTAAAAGATACTCTCTTTTTTTTATATAGTAAGAATTGAGATTATTACATCTTTTTATATAACTAACTAGAATGTGCTGTCTCTCTCTCTCTTTATGTAAGTGGACTTGGGGTTACTATCTTTTTTCGTGTAGATAGCCTTGAGGTTACAATGTTTTTTTTTATACAGTTGTACTTCTACAGTTAATGAAAACGATCAGACAACTGTATATTACATAGTTTCATGTAATGTTACAAAGCAGCCAAATAAACTTAATCTATAAAAGCTGTAATTATACTACTATAGAATTATGACACTAGATGGCACTCACATCCTTCCCTGAGTTCCTGTTCCAATTCTGTTAACCCACAAGAGAAGTATGTATTCCCCCTCACTTTGTGTGGCTGGTTTGAATTCTGGAGTTTCTACGGCGTACACTTCTTGATTCTCATCAACGAGGGATAAGCTGTCATCATCGCTGTAGGTCTGCTGAAAACCATCATCTCCTAACTCAATCAAAACTATCTGGAATAACATATTCATCTATCAATGAAGTTTTACCACTATTGAATGTTATGTCATTTCTTTAAAGAACTGTGACTATACCACTATTGAATGTTACGTAGTTTCTTTAAAGAACTGTGACTATACCACTATTGAATGTTACGTAGTTTCTTTAAAGAACTGTGACTATACCACTATTGAATGTTACATAGTTTCTTTAAAGAACTGTGACTATACCACTACTGAATGTTACATAGTTTCTTTAAAGAACTGTGACTATACCACTATTGAATGTTACATAGTTTCTTTAAAGAACTGTGACTATACCACTACTGAATGTTACATGGTTTCTTTAAAGAACTGTGACTATACCACTATT